CAATACTCTATGCCGAATGAATACTTTTTTAAAGATTTTATTTATTTACCTGAGAGAGAGAGCGCGAGAATGTGAGCTGGAGGGAGAAGGAGAAAGAACTAAAGCAGACTCTGTGCTGAGTGCAGAGCCTGATGTGGGGCTCGATCCCATAACCGGAAGATCATGACCTGAGCCGAAACCAAGAGTCAGACGCTAAACCGACTGGGCCACCCAGGTGCCCCCTGAATGAACACTTTTTAATTGTTAATGACTGCAGATAGTGCAATGAGGTACAAAGTGGACTGTATGTTTTGTTTTATAGACTTAAATATATATTCCAATTCTCTTTCTGTAGGCAATGGCGGCAGATAAAAGTGATGAGTGGTTTGCTAGACAAAATAAATCAAAGGCTTCGGGGTAGCAGAAGACATGATGTGGAACAAGCATTTGTGATTCCTGTCTAGCACCTGCAAGGCCTGATGTGTCCATGCATGATAAATGCTCTCACAACTTGGTTGTTTCCTGTACAGGCAAGGAGGCTGGGGTGGTGAAGATCTGTGTGTTTTAATCTTTGAAAGCTCTAAGATATATTTTAGAAATAAAATTCTAGTATTATCAGTCCAATTAGAGGAGAACTCTTGCTGTAATCTGCACTGTCACTGGAATGGCAGATTCTATGTGTAACTCTATTAGATTAGTCATAAATTATTTTTTAGCTTGGGCAACTATGTGGGACATTACCTTTGGTTGAAGATGGAGGGAATTTTGATAAGCTTATAGCAGGACTACTTCCAGCACCATGATAGTATGCTGTTCTAATGCCTTCCTCTGGCAGGCCTTGACATTGAAAAATGTTAAATAAATTTTGTTCCTTGAATCAAAAGATTTGACTAACGGCCCACACGTTCCTTGCTTTGAAATTTTGAGCAGCCAGAGTAAACAGATGGATCTAATGTGCTATGTTGCTACATGCCTGGCTTCATGCTATTTTCTTTATATAATTTTTTAAAATCTTCACAAGAGGGCGCCTGGGTGGCTCAGAGGGTTAGGTGTCTGCCTTCAGCTCGGGTCATGATCCCAGGGTCCTGGGATTGGGTCCCGCATCGGGCTCCCTGCTCCTTGGGAGCCTGCTTCTCCCTCTGCCTCTCTCTCTCTCTCTCTCTGTCTCTCATGAATAAATAAATAAAATCTTTTAAAAAAATAAATAAAATAAAATCTTCACAAGAATTTCAATTTCTTAAATATGGGTTAGATTTCTTAAACATGGATTAGATTATTTCTTCAGCCTAAAAAAATTTTTTTTAATGATTTCTTGTAGTTTTCTCTTTGGTTCCACAGAACAAATAAATTTTAATCACTGGAAACAAAATTTGGCCATATTTACTATAAATGGTTTTTGAAAGTATACTTCTGAAATCAAGTTGTTACGCAAGCCTCTAAGACTCTATTTAAAATGGCGGTGGCCTGGGGTGCCTGGGTGGCTCAGTCGTTAGGCATCTGCCTTCAGCTCAGGTCACGATCCCAGGGTCCTGGGATCAAGCTCCACCCCTCGGCAGGAGGCCTGCTTCTCCCTCTCCCACTCCCCCTGCTTGTGTTCCTCTCTTGCTGTGTCTCTCTCTGTCAAATAAATAAAATCTAAAAAAAATAAAATAAAAAATAAAAGGGCAGTGGCTAGGTTCAAATTTTAGGGAAGAAACCGAGGAGATTGAAAAGGATTGACTCAGAGGTTACCAGTTCCAGATTAATATATATGAAATTAGGGTAATCTTACCTTCACCAAGAGAAAAAAATCCTTTTCCAGCTCCACGGCACTTTTCATTCAACTTAAATTCTTTGTCTTAGGGAAGCAATCATGAGTTTCAAAGCAAACCGAGTTATATGTTCCTTCTCTAGACCATTGGTTCACTTTTTTCCTATATACGGGGAAATTATTGTATGGATTTTGAATAACTTCTCTGTGTTTCTTTAGACTGATTTGTTAATTTTCAGATTTCCTATTATTAAGTAATTCTTGATGTTTATTTCCAGTAACACTGTTCTTGTGCAGAGAAATTATGCTTTTCCCAGTGTATTAGGCTTAGGCCTTCTAAGTTTGTCATAGTAAAATAAATGGTTTATATAAGTACTGAATGACCAAACACATACTAGATTTCGTTTTATCTACTTACATATTAACATTACCAAAATTTTTCTTTCTTAAATTACAGCTATGCATGACAGAAGTTAATGCTATTTATCTCCCTGGGACATTTTGACTTTATGATATAAGCCCCCTTTTGTCTCACTGCCAACCATTTTTCTTTTGTTTCATTCTTTAACATTGTATTCACCCTACAACCATTTAGTGTACAATTTTGGCCTTTTATCAAGGAATCCAAAAATTTACCTCTGCACAGTGTAGCTAGTGATTTTATTATTTTTTTAAGGGGAGGGGAAGGGCAGAGGGGGAGAGAGAATCTTAAGCAGGCTCCATGCTCAGCAACACGGGGCTCGATCTCACAACCCTGAGATCATGACCTGAGCTGAAACCAGGAGTCGGACGCTTAACCGATGGAGCCACTCAGGCACCCCTGGTGTAGCTAATGATTTTAAACCACAGGTACAATCGATTACTTTCCCACCTCTGAGGATGGTATGATCCGCTAGAAAACAAGGTTATAAGATGGTTTTGCCCAAGCTGATGTTTTAAAACAGATGAAGTTGGAAAGTCCTTTGGCTTCTCCAGAGTTGTGTTTTCAGAGCAGTCATTTTGGTTTTTTGCATTGGAGGGTTGAGGAGTTATACCATATTAAGTTTAAATTCAAACTTCCCCTGGGTTTAAATCCAGAGAGACTTAGAATGACTATGTTGCAAGAGCTCCCCTAGCTTAGCCCAGGGAGTTAGTATGAAATCCATATTTGCTTGACATCTTGGTAGAATTAGCAAAGCTGTGGACATTCACAGCTCCTTTGGGTGACTTTCTGCCTCTCTCGCCTGTCACATGCAGTTGCCAGTGTGTTTAGCAGAGTTTTTAGGAGGGCTCCAGTTTGTCCACTGACATTTATGGTGAGAGTTAATGGGAAGTTTCAGCTTGGTCTAAGACTTCTTACCTTTCCCTTGGGAAGTCCATAGGAACTTTACTCTGGCCTTAATGATCAACAAATGCTCTTGGTTTTTTTGGTTTTTGTCTTTCTAGATTTTATTTATTTTAAAAAGAGAGTGCAAGTGAGCAGGGGCAGGGCAGAGGCAGAGGGAGAGAGAAACTTAAGTGGACTCCACGCTGATCACGGAGCCCAACATGGGGCTCGGTCTCACGACCCTGAGATCATGACCTGAGCCAAAACCAAGAGTCAGGTGCTTAACCTACTGAGCCATCCAGGCACCCCGAGAAATACTCTTGCCTCAGATTTCTATAAGGTAACGGAGTCAATGATGCAAAAATCAAAACAATGTTCAAAAGGGACACTCGGAAAAGCCTCGCTCCTACTGATCCCATTCCCCTTGCCTCCTCCTTACTATTCTTCCCCTTGCCCCACAAAATTCAACATACTGTATACACTATGTATTTTTTTAATAATGTATCCTGTGGTTGCTTTCTGCAGTCCTAACTATGGTGCATTTTTACTTTATCAGGTTTTATAATGATTTACAGAAATGACTATACCTACAGTGCCGAAGTTGACACTGTATTTTGGAGCAAGATGTTCCATTATTATTTTTACTAGTAATTCACATTTAATGTGAATTAGGGCCCTAAAAGCATCAAAATGTGCTTGTAATATCCTCCAAAGAAGAGAGGACAACACAACTATTGTACAATGTGGCTCTTTTTTTTTTTCTTAAGACTATTTATCTGACAGAGAGAGAGAGCACAAGCAGGGGGAGGGGCAGGCAGAGGGAGAGGGAGAAGCAGGCCCTCCTCAGAGCAGGGAGCCTGATGTGGGGCTCGATCCCAGCACCTGGGACCACAACCTGGGCCAAAAGCAGATGCCCAACTGACTGAGCCACCTAGGTGCCCCTACAGTGTGGCTCTTGTCCAACTTATAATAGTTCTTAAGTCACTGTGGCATCCTGCGGATATTCTCAAGTCCTGTATTTAGTCTATAGCAGCTTCCTGCAAAGACATGAACAGAAGATACTGAAGATACCTGGTGAGATTTGGTTTCCTTTGTCTCCTGAAGTCTTTATGTTGTTGCTTCTATTGTTTAATGGCCCTGCATGAACTGGAGCTGACCTGATGTCATGATCTATGAAAATAGTTTTTGAGGAAAAGTATTGGGAAGACCCATGCCATAGCAGAGCTTTTTCTCTGAAATTTCTTTAATAGTAGCATTTAGCACTCTATATCCCAGGGCACTTACTGTGTATTGATGCCTTCATGATAATCGGCACTAAGGAGTGGAAGCTGAGCACAGGCACTTTGGGCCTTGCATGGGTCAAAGGGTGTGTTGTGCTTGTAAAACAAACTCATTTATATGTACATACACATTGTCCTACAGACATCCCCAAGCAGAAACCAGGGTTAACTATGAACTAATCCCAAGAAAACTTTGGTTGCATGGCCTCTAATGAGGCTTTCAGAGACTGGGATTTTGAAACCATCTTCTCCAGTGTTTCTCTGCTGTGTTGTCAGGCATCCATTACTTCACTAAAAGTCGACTTCCCTCAAAATATTAACTTCATCAGGCCTGTGTTCTAGTAGGGGCTTTTGGAGTAGCACTTGACTTTAGCTTTTTGGAAGACAAAGCCCCTTTCCTCTCAGTAATGTTGGGTTAGTAGTGAACGGACAACCCCTAAAGAGATAGGGGACCTTAGCCTCCCCTTCTTTCCCCTTTCCCAAGAGGCGGAGCCTCTAGAGAATGGTCTATTCACCTCAAATCTGGAGGCATTTTCATAGCATGATTCTTCCCCCGACCCCTCTACTCCTGCCAAGCAACTGCATATACTCTGGGAGTAGGAAGGCTGGGAACTCTTACTCAAAATCATAAAGCCAGGTGTGATGGAACTTTCCCTTGAGGAGAGCTGCTTTTTATATATTTTGGACACCTCCCCAGGACTCCGACAGTCACTTTGAGTTTAATCACCTTTCCAACAACAGTCACTCACTCTCATGCAGTTTAAGTGATTTATTGATGTCTCTCAGCTATGGTGGTTATGGTTTCAGGATGTTTCAACCATGTCTTTTAAGAAGCCCTTTTCCCTACCGGAGGAGCCCTGCTACTTCATTCTGTTTGACACTCTGTCCTCCTTAACCAGTATCATTTTTCTTCAGTTCTTCCACTTTGGCAACATAGATCCTCATGGCATCCATCTTGGACATCCCCTTGTTCTCGTTCCATGCCTCCCACTTGGCCTTGGCTTTCACATCTGTAGCAGGTGGGGCGGGGATGTTGCAATCACCCTGGGTGGCCTGTTTGTAGAAGCTGTATACCAACAGTTTCTCCTGATCACTCACAGGTCCCTTCAGCTGCTTGACAGCAGCACAGGCCATCTCAAACTCCACTTGGCACATTGGGGGAGCTGAGGCGTGGCCCCTGTGTCCTCTCTAGGTGATAGCTGGTGCTGCAGGCTGGAGGATGGAGAGTTAGAAACCCTGGAGGCTGGTGATTAGGTCGGGGAAGAAGGGAAAGGGAGCAAAGGAGACGGTAATGTGTGAGAAGAAGATAGGATATTCGTGTGTGTGTGTGTGTGTGTGTGTGTGTGTGTGTGTGTGTTCTCAGAACTGGGGCCCAGTGGATTGGCTCTCCCCCACCGATGCTCTGGCTAGCAAAGTGCATTTTCTGGGGAGGACAACCAGTAACACTTCAAAGTCGCCTATGATGCCAGAGAATTAAGGATACCGTGCTGCAGGGAGAAGGAAGTGCGCTGGGGGGCGGTGGGGTGGGGGGAATTGTGCGTCTGTGGGGCCGACCCGCTTCAGGGGAGGAAGCCTCTCAGAATGGCACATCTGTGCTGGTGAGTGGGCAGCCTGGGGAAGGCGTTCAGTGCGGGTGAACTGTAAGCGGGGGATCCCGGGGGTGGCTGGATGGGAGCGAACGCGGAGCCTGGGACGGAGCTAGTGGGTAGGCTCCACTGGGACTCAGAAAGCTGGGCTGGGCAGGGACTGGACAGAGGCGTGGCTGAGCGGCCCGAGCGAAGGGAACGGGCGGGGCGGAGCACGCTCGGCGGAAGGGAAGTGCCGGTACTTGCCTGTTGGCTGGTTGGAGGCCTCGGGCTGGTAGGGGGGCGCTGTGGGCCGGGCTGCTTGGGCGCCGCGGAGCTGTTGGTGAGGACTGCGCGTGCGCGCGGAGCGGCGGGAGGCCTGCGGCCGGCGGCGCGGAGCCCGAGCTGAGATGGTGGGCGGGGCTGAGGTGCGGCCATTGTCCCGCCCCCCTCAACCACCCATTGTGCCGTGGCGCCTGCGCGGCACTCGGGGCGTCGCGGGGGAGGGGCGGCCGCTGCGACCGCCAGCGTTGCCGCCATGGACCTAGGTGGGTGTCCCGACTACCCGTTCTCGGCCCTCGTGGTCTGCGTCCTGAAACCCGCGACCAGGGCAGTGCTGAATGGGCCCGGGCTAAGGGAGACCTCGGGGTCGGGGAGGGCTTGGGAGGGCGGGCGTGTCCTCGGGGCCGGGGGTCGAGAGGCCTGGCTCCAGCCCCGGCCCCGCCGCTCCTAAGCCTGCATCTTGCCCCCTCGGGGCGCCTTTCCACGTGAAGGGCCAAGCGGATGTGAAGTTAGATTTCCTGAAAGTGGACAGGGTTCGTGCACGTGCTTTTTGGAAAATGCCGGGCTCGGAAGACGCCCCCGGGGAATCCGGATACCCGGACGGTTTCATTTGTTGGACGGCTGCTGAGTTCTTGAGCAAGCGTCTTACGCCCCATGAGGTCCTCCTCGATAAAACGGGGATGATAACGTATCCACCACACAGAGTCTTGGGGCGTTGTGATTGAGAGCACGTGTATACGGTGTCTGGTACGGTGCCTTGCGCACAGCTAGTTCAGTCGAGCAGCAGCTGTGGGGAGCGCCGCGGCAGCCGAGGTGGCACTTTGGAACCTCTGTGCACTTTGATTCAGAGTACTCACAGGCGGGGTCTGGGAGAGGGGAGGGGGGAGCTAGTATAAATCGGTGGCTCCTTGTCCAGCCTCCCACCCTGCTGGACATGCTCTTAAAGAGATGAGACCAGGAGGCTGTTGTGAGAGAGCTGGGAGGAGGCACCCCAAGATGTGCCAGGAACAGGCTGTGGAGAAACGGTGTAGTCCTGTCGCCAGCCAGGTCTTCAGTGGTGGAACAGTAGAGCTCGAAGCTTGGAGCCCTGCAGCTGTGGTGATTTCTGTCGCAACCCCACCACACTGTAGTTGGGACATCCTGAGCAAATTGTTTCTGAATCTCAGTGTTTCCCTCTCTAAAACAAGAATGGTTCCCAAAAGGTTGATTTGAAGATTAAAAGAGATCTTGCACAGTGCCTGGCACGGAGTAAGCACTTAATAAACATACAGAGTGGGCACTTAAAAACACCAGTTAACCAGTAGTGATAAAAACACTTGGGATTTGCCCAGCTATTAACCAGTAGGTCCTGGGACTTATTCCTTCAGGTATCACAATGAACATAATGTCTCTGGAATATTGGTATTGGGGGACAAACATTTCAGCTGACTGTGCAATAAATTTAAATTTACAGAGTCATAAGGGGACATATTTGGGGAGCCTAGGAGAGCAGCCTGAACCAAAAAGGGGGGGCAGAATCCCCAGTGAGACCTCTCAGCACCCTAATCCTCCTGGGAGTCAGCCTCGGCCACTGGGAGCCAAGGTGGACTGCCTTCACCAGTTGGTTGCATAGGAGTGTTGATCCTTTGGCCTTTTGCTGCTCCCTTAAAGTTGAGGGGCAGGATCGTTTTTAGTCTCCTGAATCGAGATTCTCTTGCTGGCTCCTGGCCTGTGAAATTGGGAAAGATGTGTTCTTTGGGAGCATGAGGGAATGAGGAAGGGGTAGCATCTCCGGGCCCTGGGAAAGGGGGGAGAAGTTGGGAATACTGAACAATGAGTAGCGTTTGTACTCCGATTTTGTTTCTGGGCCAGAAGCAGCTTACCTGAGGAGGACCTATGTCCTTTCCTATTACTGAGCTAGGGAAGGCGAAGAATAGCGACAAGGTTCCAGTCCTGCCAACAATGGAAAGATCTGCGGGGAATCAACACTTCCTGAGCGCTTATCAGGCTCTTTGTAGCCAGAGGCTTACAGTAGCTGTATCTTGCGTAACGCTCAGCAGCTCTGGGAGATGGAATTGGGAGCCGAACTACCAGCTCAGTGTTGAGGGCTTGACTAGTATATGTCATTTGATCCTCCCAGTCTAACACAAAGTCTGTATTTTTCCCACATACACAGAAGGGAAGCTCAGAGAAGCTTTAGCTTGTTCTAGATGGTTGAGCTAGGATTTAAAGCAATGTCTAATTAAACATCCCCAAATGCCTTCCTTGATAAGTCTGTTACAGATTCATGGCTCCCTGGACAAAGGACTTTTCATTCCTAATCTACTCAAGTACTTTTTTGTATCTACCTCTTGGTTTTTACTAGAGAAGCAGAGCCTTTGGTAGGTTCTTCTGTTTGACAGAGCTGTGGGGTAAACTGTTTCCCTGCAAGAACACCTGAAATTTGTTTGCAAGACAAGGCTGTAAGAGAAAAGAGGGAAGGCAGGGCTTGTCTGATTGCTTCTGTGCCCACAGCCCTGGCCCCTGCCCCCCTTAGGCTGTATCATTACTCAGAAGCTCAACTGTCATGTTCCACGGTAGGTACTTGGTCGCCCCTGTTGCTTGGTACTGCCCTGCTCTCTCTCTCTCAGCCCTTCCTCCCCACATCCTCTGCCAGCCCGTCCTTTGCCGGAGGGCCTAGCCCTTTCCTTTACACATGCTTTTCCTGCAGGATCTCATTCACTTTTTCATTCCATTGATCCCCTCTGAGCAGACACCTCCCTGAGCCACATTTCCATTGCTGGAGGACGGCTCTACCTTAATGTTCTACCTCAAACTCCAAATAACCAAAACTGAACAGCGTTCCCTCCAGAGCTGTTCTGATTCTCTGTTCTTCCAGTGATGCCCGTTGTCTTCCCAATCCAGGCTAGAGTCTGGGAGTCCTTCTTTATCCCTTAGCCAAGTCCTTTTGATTCCAGCTCTACAGCGGCTCTTAGGACCAACCCTCCTTCCCCGTTCGAGCCCTTATCATCTCTAACCCCGATGATGACCGCCGGCCTACCAGCTGATGTCTCTCCGTCTCACCTCTGCTAATGATTCTAAAGATTTTTCACCACACTCTGTCTTGTGCGGCTTCTCTCTGTGCAGGACCTGTGAATATCTGTGAGGAAATGACTATTCTGCATGGGGGCTTTTTGCTCGCCGAACAGTTGTTCCACCCCAAAGCGCTGACGGAATTGAAAAAGTCTGACTGGGAACGCGTTGGGCAGCCCATTGTGGAGGCCCTAAGGGAGATCTCCTCTGCCACAGCATGCTCCCAGCCCTTTGCCTGGAAGAAGAAAGCTCTGATCATCATCTGGGCCAAGGTTCTTCAGCCCTACCCTGTCACCCCTTCAGATGCTGACACTCGGTGGCAGGAAGATGTGTTCTTCTCAGTAGGCAACATGATCCCTACCATCAACCACACGGTCCTTTTTGAGCTGCTCAAGTCGCTGGAAGCTTCTGGACTCTTTATCCAGCTCCTGATGGCCCTGCCCACCACTATCTGCCGTGCAGAACTAGAGCGCTTTTTGGAGCACATGTCCGTGGACACGTCCTCAAAGGATGTGGCCTTTTTCCTCAGCGTCTGGTGGGAAATGATGAAGCACAAAGGCAATCAGCAGGACCCCCTGCTCTCCCAGTTTAGAACAATGGCCCATAAGTATTTGTCCTCTTCAGATGAGTTCTGCCACCCTCCAAAGAGGTTTAAGTCAGACCCAGATGTGTGTCCCACTATGCCCCTGTTGGCCATGCTGCTCACTGGGCTGAAGCAAATCCAAAATAGAATCCTATGCCCAGGGATGAAGTGCTGTGCATTAGCCAACTTGGCAGACATGCTGACGGTGTTTGCCTTGATGGAGGACGACCCCCAGGAAGTATCTGCAACCGTGTATCTGGACAAACTGGCCACGGTGATCTCTGTGTGGAATTCGGACACCCAGAACCCGTATCACCAACAGGCACTGGCAGAGAAGGTAAAGGAGGCCGAACGGGACATCAGCCTGACCTCCCTGGCCAAGCTTCCAAGCGAGACGATTTTCATCGGGTTTGAGTTCATGTGCAGCCTGCTGCGGGAGTGGGGGGAGGAGCTGCAGGCCATGCTCACCAGCAGCCAGGGGACAAATTACGACAGCTTCCGGCTGTGCGACAGCCTGACGTCCTTCAGCCAGAACTTGAAGCTCTACCTGGATTCTACCAGCTTGTCCAAGGAGGAGAGGCAGGTGGTCTCGGAGCTGGCAGAGTGTGTTGGGGACTTCCTGAGGAAGACCACCAGGGTGCTGGAGAACAGGGGCTTTGAGAAGGACATCACCGCCTCGATTGCCATGGCCATTATTGAGCAGAAGATGGACCGACACATGGAAATGTGCTACATTTTTGCTTCTGAGAAGAAGTGGGCCTTCTCAGATGAATGGCTAGCCTGCCTGGTTAATAACCGGGCCCTCTTCCGAGAGCCAGACTTGGTGTTAAAGCTGCTGGAAACAGTGATGGAAGTTACCATGACAGACAGAGCCATCCCTGAATCTCAGATCAGACAAGTGATCAGCTTGATTCTAGAATGCTATGCAGACCTCTCTCTGCCAGATAAAAACAAAGTCCTCTCAGGCACCCTGCTCTCCTGGGGGCGGAAGGGTCTCTCTGAGAAGTTGTTGGCTTACTTGGACAGGTTTCAGGAGGACCTCAATACAACTTTTAACCAGCTCGCACAGAGTGCCTCTGAACAGGGCTTAGCTAAAGCTGTAGCTTCTGTGGCCCGCCTGGTAATACTGCACCCGGAGATCACCGTGAAGAAAATGTGCAGCATGGCTGTGGTCAATCTTGGCACCCACAAGTTCCTGGCTCAGATTCTCACTGCCTTCCCCGCTCTTAGGTTCACGGAAGAGCAGGGTCCCGATCCATCCGCTACTTTTGTGGTGTCATGCCTCAAAGAAACCGTCTGGACAAAGTTCTCTACACCCAAGGAAGAAAAGCAATTTTTGGAGCTCCTGGGCTGCCTGATGAATCCTGTGAGGCCCCAGGGTATCCCGGTTGCTGCTCTTCTTGAGCCAGATGAGGTGCTAAAGGAGTTCGTCCTGCCTTTCTTGATGCTGGACGTCAAAGAGGTGGATCTCAGTTTGAAGATCTTCATCCAGACTCTTGAAGCAAATGCGTGTTCGGAGGAATACTGGCTCCAGGCCTGCTCTCCGTTCCCCCTCATCTTCAGCTTGTGCCAGCTGCTGGATTGCTTCAGCAAATACTGGCAGCTCCCCAGGGAGAAACGGTGCCTCTCTTTGGATGGGAAGGATCTGGTGATCCATATCCTGGAGATCCTCTGTGAGGTTATATTGGCTAATGCTGACACCTTCTCCCCAGACACCTGGATCAAGTCCCTGTCTTGGCTCCACCGGAAGCTGGAGCAGCTCGACTGGACGGTGCGCCTGAGAATGAAGAACCTCTTTGAGGGCCACTTCAAGTGTGAGGTGCCCGCCACGCTTTTTGAGATCTGTAAGCTTTCTGAGGACGCGTGGACCTCCCAAGCCCACCCTGGGTATGGTCCGGGCACAGGGCTTCTTGCCTGGATGGAGTGCTGCTACATCTCCAGCAGCATCTCTGAGCAGATGCTGTCCCTCTTGGTGGTAGATGTGGGCAACCCTGAGGAGGTCAGATTGTTCAGCAAGGGCTTTCTGGTGGTCCTGGTACAAGTCATGCCTTGGTGCAGCCCCCAAGAGTGGCAGTACCTTTACCAGTTGACCAGGAGACTGTTGGAGAAACAACTCCTGCACGTCCCATATAGCCTGGAATATATTCAGTTTGTTCCTCTGCTCAACCTGAAGCCCTTTGCCCAGGAGCTCCAGCTCTCCGTACTCTTCCTGAGAGCTTTCCAGTTTCTCTGCAGCCAGAGTTGTTGTAATTGGCTTCCTATGGAAGGCTGGAGCCATGTAGTCAGACTTCTCTGTAACAGTCTGACCAATCTTCTGGACTCCGTTAGGTCGATACAGTCAGTTGGCCCTTGGGCTCAAGAACAGGACCTGACCCAGGAGACCCTGTTTTTTTATACCCAGGTATTCTGTCATGTTCTGCACATCATGGCCATGCTCCACCAAGAGGTGTGTGAACCGCTGTACGTTTTGGCCTTGGAAATCCTCACTTGCTACGAAACCCTGAGCAAGGCCAACCCTTCTGGTAGCTCCTTGCTTCAGAAGGTAAATGAGCAGCGCTTCCTGAAGTCCATCGCTGAGAACATTAGCCCTGAGGAACGGCGCCAAACCCTGCTGCAGAAGATCAGCAACTTCTGATCTTTGTACTTCAGAGAACGGCTGGGCCCCGACTCGGTGGGGTCTACAGGGGTTTTGAGCTGAGAAACACGAGCTTTCCGGTTATGTGAAATTGTACGCAAGCTAAAAAAGTATATGGCAATAACTGTAAAGAAAATAGTTTCTTAGGTGTTTGTAACATACAAATTATAAAATTCTCGTTTGAGTTTCATCGTCTCTCTTTGAGTCTTTCTCATCAATAGAATAGGCTTAGATATGCTCTGCAATTGGGCTCAGCTAGTCTTAAAGAACAAAGCAAGCTGGGAGGAACATGTTCATAACTGGATTTATCCACCCTAGAATTTGGCAAAGAAGTCCAAAGGTGGAACCACCCAAGTGGAAAAATTACAGGTATTCTGTTCTGCACTGCAGCCCTCTTCAAGAGTCATTTCGTGGTGTCTTGGAAAGGGCAGCCAGGGGGAAAAACTCTCTTCTGCCACCAATTGGCCATGTATTTGTGAACCCAGGCGGCCTGCCCCACTGTAAAAGGAGAACACTGGACCAAGAAAATTAAATGTCAGGGAGTAGACTAATAACCCCAAGAAAATGGGTGTGTTCTGAATGGAGGACTTCAGCCATACAGGCTGAACTCCATTTAGTGGATCCGGGAGGGGCTGTGTGAAACAGTCTGGTGAACACCAGAGGTGGGTTTAAAGGGTGGGTACAATTATCTTCTCCCTGGGGTGGGCTGTCCTGGTTTTCAGGGGTGAGTGGGAGCAGTGGCGTACACAGAAGCTTTATTAAAAATGTGACCTTCCCATGTCCAGTGTGTATCACAGGACTAGGAGAACTGGTTGGGGAGGTGTTTTTTTAATTTGAGAGGCAAGGAGGGAAAAAGGATATGCCCCATCACCTTCATATGCTTACCCTCACTTAAAATGAGGTGTTATTCTGGTCCCCACCCAGCTCCTAATTGGGATTCACGTAGGAAGGGAAGATTGTGCCAGAAGTTGCCTGACCACGGGGCTTGAACTCTAGGACCTGACCATGTACTCTCGGAACCCCCAGACACATGTGAGAGTAAGGTCTGAGCCGGGCCCTCCTGAAGGCTGAGAGCGTGACCACACCCCTCCACACCCCGCTCCTGCCGGTCGCGTGGTGGATGCAAGCACAGAGCCGGAACAACAGCACACAGCGGGGAGGCCACTCAGGTCACAGGATGGGTCTGAAAAGAAGTGGGTATTGATGTATTTCACAAATGAGAAGAAGCTAGGAAATATTAGTGCACTTTAATCACCACGGGGGTGATTTATAAAGATATACTGACAGTAAACAAAAATGGTAAAAAAAAAAAAAAAATTACAGCATTTGACATTTTTTAAATGGCACCCATTAAAGACTGAAATAGAATTTGAGACACTGTTACATGTTGAGTACTTTACAAGTTCATGGACAACAATGAATTAAAAGACTCTTTAAAACTTCTAGATTTTTACTACCATTTGAAAAAAACTTCATGGTAGCAGTTTCTAAAACCCATTCTAGGGGGTAAGGAAGAATTAGTGTCAGCACCAGAGGGTCCTATCTGCAAACGGTAGTTGAGTCAGTCCACAGGACGGATTTCGGCCAGGGCTATCTTGCACTCTCACTCTCCAGCCTTCTGTGGCAAAGTGGCAGTCCGCTCCTGTGGGAACAGGCTTTGGAACACAAGCCCTGGCTCACCAGGAGGCAGCCCGGATGAGACCTCTCACGGTTTGAAATACAGAAGCCCATTTCCACGTCCTATGGAAAGGACAATGTCAAAGAGTGGGCTTCCCCAGGAAAGGGCTCAACAGGCACCATGTTGCTTTACCCCTACAGTTTTAACAACAGCATCCTGTGCGTGTGGACATGGGGAAAGCTGGGTTTGAGGGGACATGCTAAGAAAGGAATAGTATTTGTGACTTTACAACGAGCTCACAAGTTCGACACTGGTCTTCCCAAGTCGGCCTGCAATGGCGCTGACCTGTGGGCCTCCCTAACTACTCAAGTGCTTCAGGTTCCCCTCCCTGCCTCTCACCCCCCTGCCGGGGACACTTCAGAATGGAAGTCAGGGGACATGGGAATTCCGTGTTGGCACGTGGATGACGGGATGAGGCATGGGACCAGTGGGTTATCGAGTAAACAGTAAAAAACTACCTACCCACGATGGTTTGCCCAGGCCAACATCACAAGAACGTATTTCGAGAACCAAGTTCACCACTTGCTGCCGCTGGCCCAGTAAGTGTAGATACTGCCCTGAGTGGTCGGAAAGGCGGGTAGCCGCCCATATTCGGGCCAGGCGGGTGCCCAGACGCTTCACCCTAGTCCACCTGTCTCCACACCCCATGCTTCTGCCTCCCAGAACCCTTGAGGTGAGACTCAAGGAAGGATCCTGGGGCTTGCGTTAAAACCACCTTGCTGCCAGCGGGGGGTCTGACAGGATCCAATCGCTGTTCCTTAGGAAAAAAGTGCTTTTGCAAAAGGGGCAGGTTAGAAGAGGGAGGTCATGTGAAGATTCTTTAGAAAAACTCAAACCCATCTGCTTATCAATACACACAAAGGGCTGGAGGCACCCAGGGCACAGTCTGGTCCGTGGGACTACCGAGTGGAGGAGGCACCTGCACTGCCCGACTCCCGGGAGCGCTTAGCTGTCCTTGTCCGGGGGGGGGTCAAAGAGCCGGGCTGCCTTCTTGCAGAGCAGAGAGAACCAGTAGATCTGGGGGGCGACGAGGACGGCATTGGCCACATTGCAGTAGAAGGGGATACGCGACGGCACTTGGAGCAGGCTTAGTCCCCGCTGCTGGCCGTAGGACCAGTACATGAACGGGAAAAGAAGGATCCGACAGGAAAGGAAGGTGGTCAGCGTGAGAATTCCGTTCACTTTGTACAGGAGGGTGCGCTGCTGCTTCAGCTGCAGGAGAACGGGGAGGGGAAGGCCGTCGGCGAGGCTGCGCCTGCCGGGAACCACCCGCCAGGGGCCCGCGGCCAGAAAGCCAAGCGTCGGGTCTCCTGACACGCGTGGCAAAGCTGGCCGAGTGCCGCCCGCTTTATATGTGCACGCAGGCTCGCAGTTTCTCCAACAGTGATACTGAGTTTGGCCTAAGCCCCCCAGCCGACAGGCACACAGGACAAGTGCGTTTAACAACAACAAAACAAAACAAAAAACACCAAAACAAAAAAAAAAAATCTGCAGCCAGGAAAAAATACCTAAAAAACTATCAAATTTGAATCAAAAGTACGATTTCACCCCCACACACACAGGCTCAGAAGACCAACTGACCTTTGCATCTGTTAAAGGGTCTCCTGTCCCACCATTCCTAGAACTAAGGGGTTTCCACAAGCCCCCCAGTCCGCCAGGGGAGAGCGGGGCCTGCTTCCTCCTGCCATACGGCCATGGCATCTGTACCTGAATCAGAACTCGGCCCAGGGACACGAACGGAGTGCTCAGTTCTGCCATGAAGATGCAGCCGACAAAGAAGTCCCCGAGGTCTCCCCTGAGCCTCTGCAGAGGAAAAGGGAAGAAATGGGAAATAAGAACTAGAGGTTAAGGAACCACTGGAAGGAAAATTCTATTGGAGGGCTACTGGAAAGGGTAACCATGAGAGACTGTGAAGGGAAAGGGAAATGCTAAGTGAGTACAGACCTGGTTAATACTCTGCTGCTTCCACAGCAATAGCACTTGGAGGGGCAAATCCCCCAGGATCCAGAGACGACTTCAGAGATCAGCTGATTGCATCACACCCCAGGCTTTTTCTGAATTTCAATGTCAGCCGGAAGGAACCCTGTAGCCTACTCTTGGGTATTCTAACTTAGTCATGCCAAGGGCACTTGGCCAGTTTAATTGAACAAAATACGTGCCAGGCCCCGTGCTAGATGTCAGGGTCCCAAAGCAATCAGGAGAGACTTCTTTAAGAATGTAATGTCCTCCCCACCACTCCTTTTATCTTGTCAAAAAAACAGACTAGCACAGAATAGCAGCTCTGTCACTGACTACCACTGAGTACAATAAGTAAACTCTTAGAGCCCCCAGTTTCTTCATCTCTGGTACAGGGTGAATAATATCTAATTGTCACTTCTAATAACGTCTAATTTAGTAGAAAGCGATGAGCTTTGCAGCCCAGCACCTGTCACTCAGGAATGACTAATTTCCTTTCTGCATTCCCGTCTCTCCTCCTCGTTGGGGGCGGGGGAGGGGGCTTATGGGGAAATGGACCTGAGGAGAAATTATACGGCTATCTGCTTTGAGAGCGAGCTTTTGTGACATCCGTATAGCACAGACATTACTCTCTGGCACTGCTGGAGCAAATCACCAGGTGACTGAGCCACTCTCATTTTTTTAAAAATTTTTATGTTGTTTTGTATTGTACTGGATACTGTTTTTATATCGTGTCAACGGAAGACAGAGCCTCTGACAGAGCCTAGGGAATCACAGAGGGCTGGGGGACTGCATAAAAGATAATGCTGGTAAGGGGGACCAGCAGCACTGCAGACTGCACTTCTGTCCTGGGGGATGTGCCGGGGAGGTTTTACTGTGGAAGCAACTGGCACCGGAGGAAGCGGAAAGGAAAGAGGGACAGTCCAGGCTCGTAAGTAATGGTCAAGATACCCAGTTTAACAGGAGGAAACGAGGGACCAAGTCTGCCGGTGGCTGTTCTGGAAGGCCGTACCTGGGCAACTGGCACAAGGGCAAACAGAATGACCGCGTGATGCGCGATCATGAGGCGGTTTTTACTTAGGAAGTTCCGAAAAGTGGTGAGGGAGTGTCTGTGGTTCTGGTCTCTGGTTCGGTACCACTCACAGAGGTACATGGCGTAGGAGTCGTAGATCATGTACGGAATCAAGAACCAGACATACTCTCGGGCAAGCCAGTGCCTAAAAGAAAGCATATGAACAGTCCCTGAGAGGATGATGGACGTCAACTATGAAGGCTCAACGTCAACCGCTTCTCAAACACATCCCCTTCAGCTGTGTACCTCATCAGCTATTTTTACTCCAAACGCTTTACGAGGAAGATGCTGACAGTGATAAATAAGGTGAGTGAAGAGTTTTCTCTCAATTGCGAGGCCAATTAATAAGTGTCAGGGGCAGAAAGCAGGAGACTCAGCACCATGTGTTTCAGTAACTAGCTTCACCATTTCCCTGATTTAGCTACTCCTTTCTAATGGATTTTTCTGGCATTTTGTGATGTAAGCTAACTTTGATATAGATATCTCTATAAATGATTCATTAGCCCCACCAAGAAACTTGTTTGAAGGTGTCCCAAATGCCCAATCCAATATTTCCAGTTTAACTCCACTTAGTTGCTCAAGAGTTGGGAGTTTCCTCGCGTATCTGCTTGCAACCCCACTTTAGGGAGTTTCTGAGAAGCTCTTTACAATTCTATGGCTAATCCCAATTCCACTCATTAAGAAAAATACATCTGGAAAGGAGCCCGGAGTTCAAGGACTACCTTACAGCAATCAGATACCAGAAGAGAAGCTGGGACCAAAGACAGTTTTCCCATTTACTTGCCCAAAGGGGCTAGATCCATATTTGCTGAGTCTAAATGACTGCTTATCACGGTCCCAGAGCAGGTTAGAAGGAAAGTCTCTAATTTCTACAGTTTTGTTCCCAATTGAGAAATAATCATTCTACAGAAAATGTGGGAAAAATCAAAATAGAAATCATATACTCTGCTGAGAAGGATTAGCTTCACTCAATCAGCACATTTTTACTGAGCACCCATGTGTCAGATAGAAGAAACTGTTTAGTTTCATGGTTTGGTGTTCCCAAACTACCTGAACCCCAGCATCACCTGCAGTGCTTGGTAAGGACTCTACTCTCCAGAGACTCTACATGCTAGGCCTCGGGAGCTCAAAGCTGTATTTTTAACTTTGTCTCAGGTGATTTCCTAAGAAGCCAGTCCACTGAACTGCAACACTGGCAATATACTCTAGCGAGGGTGCCATTCAAATTTCTGTTCCTGAACGAGTCCACACTTATCATGGCATGACTGGATCATTAAGAAGCAATGAAACAGGCAAACAAGTAAGTAATGGCAAATATACTAGATGTGTATGTGAATTCATTAGCCAGGTTCCATTTAGGTAAAAAGGTGTGATATTTATTCTACTGCCCATCTATGGTCTCCAATTGCTTTCTTGAAGCAATTCCAAGTAAAATAACTATGAAGAACTACTAAAAGCTTAGCTGAAATATAACCGGCCCCTCCCCTTGAGTGGGGTCTAGGATTTTAATATTTTGCACACCATACCAATTCTGTGAGATCTGAAATTGTGTAGAATTCTCTGAAGACTTATTAACAAGAGGTTTGGATTATAATCCTTTTTTTTTTTTTTTAAGATTTTATTTATTTATTTGACAGAGAGAGACACAGTGAGAGAGGGAACACAAGCAGGGGGAGTGGGAGAGGGAGAAGCAGGCCTCCCGGCCGAGCAGGAACCCCGATGCGAGGCTCGATCCCAGGACCCTGGGATCATGACCTGAGCCGAAGGCAGACGCTTAACGACTGAGCCACCCAAGCGCCCCAAGAGGTTTGGATTATAATCTTAACTACCACCAGCCTGGGACTTAACTTTCTTTATAGTATCAGGATAATTCTTGTTTTCCTTCCCTGACAAAGTTCTTGTGTGGATTAAAAAAACTAGAAGTGTTAAAGTCCTTTTAAATTAAAAAGTACTATCCAAATATAAGTGCTTAAACGGATAAAATTGCCTAGGACTATGACTCTTAGCCCGTTTAGGGATCTGGACTCCTGAAATCTTTGGTCCACCACCACATTATGCATATAATTCAGGGGGATTTATAGATACATATTCTATATGAAGGCATAAGATGAAAAGGCATATAATAGGGGCGCCTGGGTGGCTCAGTCGGTTAAGCATCTGCCTTCAGCTCAGGTCATGATCCCAGGGTCCTGGGGTCGAGCCCCGTGTCGGGCTCCTTGCTCAGTGGAGAGCCTGCTTCGCCCTCTGCCCCTCCCCCACTTGAGTGCAGTCACACTTCTCTCTCAAATAAATAAAATCTTAAAAAAAAAGAAAAGGCATATGATAGAAAAATATTTGAATGTATAACATATGAGCCCCCAAAGGCCTTTTTTTTTTTTTAAAGATGACCTAGGTGCCTTTAGAACATCCTTACGCATACATGCAAAGGCGGAGGGCACAGAAATGTGTCTATCTCCATTCTGTGCCCAGACAATCTAAGGCATAAAGATACACAAAAGGAGGAACCTGAAAACCAAACTCAGGTGTGCTACCATGATCCAGCCACTAAAAACACAGAGCTTCTAAGGGGAAAAAACACAACAGTGGTGCTACAGAACTAATGGTGTGCAAATATCTTCTGAAATGTATAGTGGTTGCCTGCTGCTTGCCCTCGTATCAGCTCAAAAAAATGCTGCGAAGTCACATTTGTCACTTTAATCTTTGCAAAGGAGGCTGGTTTCAAGTTTGATGTGACAAACGGGGCAGTGAGGGAACTTGTTGCATGATCAGAAAATGCTCAATGAAAATAAAAAACTGAACCCAGCCAAGCAAATGCTGTTAGCCTTTGGTGTGTGCAGTCAAGGTCACTTGACCTATCTTGTCTCAGCATCTGTAATTCATTGCTGATAGCTGGTTTTGTCTAAAAAGGGGCATAGGAAGAAAAGCACAAAAGTCACAATGGCAGGACTAATCCCAAGTAAGATCCAGACACTAAATTTGCAGGCCACAGGGAAATGGATACCCCTCTCCTGCTCCCATCCCATTCCAGTCTCAACTCGCAAAAAGCAGGACACTTTGCAGAGTCAACATGCGAAAGGGACTAGGAAAGGCTGTGAGACTTTCTCTCAACATTGGACTATCACTCTTTAAGGAGAAGAAGGTTAAGAGTGGTTCTAGGAAGAAGGGTGAAAATAATGGCTTTTTAGAAAAAAGGGGGGGGTCCACAATTGCCCAGGTCTAAACACTATACCAAGTAGACTGCCCTGGTCTTTATGATTTGTTTCACTAGATGCACATTTCTTGACCTGCCTCTGGACTGAGCTCTAACTCAGGTACAGGTCAGCTTCCTGAAAGCACTAGAAACCTTTTCATTGCCTTTCGCAAATCCAGAGGAAACGGGAGCAGCACTTGTAAAGAAAGGATGGTGGATTTGTTCCTTTCCACAGAGGGTCTCTGCTAACCACACCGGACATATGTTGGCCAAAGAATGCTCCAGGGCAGGACGCCAGTGAAATCATTTAAAAGACCCAAAAGCCAGACTCCCACTTCCAAATAATTCTCCCACTTACATATCTCATAAAGAACTTGAATCAATGGGCCACCTTAAATCAGACTTAGACCCTGTCATTCTCTAGTATGTCTTCAGTTTACTTTCTCCTAAGTGGGCGAGGCTGAAAGCAGGAAGGAGAGGAGGAGGGACTAATTATGGTGCCCAAGTTGTCCCATCAGCTACCTAACCGCACGTGCTGGTAAAAGAACTAGCGCCTGGGAGCCGCTCAAATGTGGAAACTCCAACAAAGCTCAGCGCCTTCGTCGGTGCTGCTTTCACCTGGCATTGGATGTTACCTGTCGGTGATCACGTCGCTACAGGAGCGGATGATGACGATCCCTGACCCGGTGGCCAACACAGCCTGCACTGAAGAAACCAGCCTAACGTGCGGCAGAAAAGAAAAAAAAAAAAAATCCAGTCCAGTGGACAGCGTGAAGCCCAGAGCCTTCAACCTGCCTCTCCCCTGGGCTGCCAGTGCGGGGAGGGAGAGGGTATGCGGCCGCCGCGCTCCCGACCCCAAGGCAGCGGGCAGACCGACCAGCAGCTTCCCGCCCGGTCGTGCCCCGCGCGGGCGCCCTCCATCCTCCTTCCTCTCCCTCTTCCTCCCCGGGAGGACGCCGGGGTCTGCGGAGAGCTCCGGCCGGCGCCCCAGAGGGGCAAGGCACCAGGGAGGCAGCCCCCTCGCTTCCTGTCGCCCCCCTTTTCCGCCCTCGGCTCGGCGCAGGGCCGGGCGCCGGCGGGTCGGGTCGCGGGGCAGCCGGCGCGCGGCCGGGTGGGGCTGACGGCGCCCGGCCTCGCGCATACCTGGTGCTGATCATCACGCAGTCGGAGTCGCTCCATGCTGGCCGCGCGCGCCGCAGCCCCCAGGTGCAGAGTGCGAAGAGCCCCGGGAAGAAAAGCGAGCCCAAGGCCAGCGTCAGCAGCATGGGTGCTCGGGGTGGGGGGGTCGGTCGCCGCGCTCGGCGCCCTCGGCGTGGCTCCGGTCGGCTCCGCGCGACTCCCGACTGGCGCGGCCCGCCCGCCCCTATTTCTACCCTTCGCCCTCCGCCCCCGCCCCGGCCCCGGCCTTGCCGCGACTCCGGCAGCCGCCGGGCGCTGGCCCCGAGCCCGCAGCGCCACTCCCCGCGTGACCAGGCCGGCGGCCGCGATAGGCGCGGGCCGGCCGGGCGGGGCGGGGTCTTGCCGCCGCCGCCGCCGCCGCCGCCGCGGCCCCTAGGCCCCGAGGCTTTCCCGGGTTCCCCCGGCCGGCCGGCGAGTGGCCGGCGGCGGCGAGCTGTGGCCCAGGAGGTTCCGAGGGCGCGGGCGCTGCGCCCAGCACGAGCGGCGTGGAGCGGTCGCCGCCGCCTTCCGAGCGGCCGCGGGGCCGAGGCATTGGTGGGAAGGGCCGAGGCTCTCGGGGCTTCTGTTCCGTCACCGCGGACGCGTCCCCCTCCCTGCCGGACCGGCCCGACCGACGGAAGGCCCCGCACCGCCCACTGCCCTCCTACGCTCCGCAGCCCCAGGCGAAGGGGGCGGGGTGGAGGAGGCCCAGAGAAAGCCCCGTAGAAAGACGCCTTCGGTCGAGACCCCCCACCACGAGGCTGGGCGAGCCCTCCGGGCCGGGCCCGGGCATCTCTCTTCGGCAGAAGGAAGGAGAGGATGGGTGGGCTTGTGGCCATCTGCCCGCCTGGCTGATCTACCAAGCACTCTTGCGTCTAAATAGGAGTCTCAAGGAAACGATCCCTCTGTAGGCCAAAGATGGCTTTTCCACGTCCTGCCAACTGCTGCAATTCCTCCAGAGGGGTCGGGGGTCGCTCCTAAAAGCATTAAATCCTGCTACAGAATCCAGCAGTCCCTCTCTCAGTCTGTCTAGCGAGGTGAAACACCAGGTCTGCAGACTCTCTGCGGCACCCGCGGTACTGCCTCTCGCCGCCGGGGCAAGATACTAGGCAGTCTCGAGGACTGTTGACAACGTTTTCTTTTAAAGTTCTCCATCCAGGTGCCCTAAATTTGAATGGGTTGGAAACGATTCGTTTTCACTCAGCACCAGTCACGTGGGCCAATACAGTAGCTTCAACATTACTGGCTTCTCTCCCTCTTGGGACTTCCCAACGTTTTCCTTTGCTTTGGTCTCTCTCTTCCACAGCTAACGTGGGGGGAAGGACAATTCACTTATGCCTATTGCGATTGAAAGGCTCTGTGGGTCTCTTCCCATCATCACCATGCAACATGCTGAGGAAGGCCCCGTAACAGGACTGACTCTGTCTGAAACAGTGGGGCTCAGCCTCTCTAGGCCACTGTTTCCTCGAAATTTGTGAAATGAAGATGCTGAACTCCAAGCTCTTTAAGGTTCTTCCAGTTCTAAGTTCTTATGATTCTATGACTTTTATAAGATAACAGATGATCTCAGATGCCAATTAAATTTCTCTAACATGGCAGTTACTGATGTAGAAGCAGATATCAACACAGCTTTTAACATATATTGTCAAGTTGAGGGATTTAACCAACATCAAGGAAACAGAATACCCAAAGGAAAGTCTGAAATTTCTTCCAATGAGAGTAACATCTCTAACTCCCAGATTCACTGCTAACATACTTGGTGAACTGAAAAACACACTTCAATTTGGTAGCAAGGTATCTGGCATATACAAAGCTTTCTGTATTTTCACATTTGCATGCAGACAAAGGACAGCTATGTGTAAACTCTTCACTGTCTCCAGAACAAATGCTTATGCATTCCACTTTCTATTCCCTACCTGTTTATCCCAGTCACCTCCACCTCTTTTCCAGAGAGGGACAAGTGGTTACCAGTCTTCCCTGCCTTCTCTCCTTAAAGGGATCAGCAGCATGCACCAAGGATGTTAACACTTTTAAGTGGTGGGAACCAATCTAGTCCCTATGCAAGAAGTTGTCTGTACAGCTCTTGGAGTCTATGAAACAAAAACAAAACAGATGTTTCACATACAGAAAATAGCAAGTGAAATCAGTTTCCAACACCAGGCTCACGAAGTCACCAGAATGTTAAGCTTGAATCACCAGAAAGCCAACAAGCATAAACATGAGCCTTGGCTTTTCAACCCCTTAGGCAAATAATAAAGCCTTTTTAACACAAACGTCTACTCACCCTTCAAAGGTTTTGAGTTTTGTTTCCTTCTCCAGGAAGGTTTCTATCTATCTGTTTCTTCTAGGCACATTTATAAATCTCCTTCTAGATCACTTTTGCATTTGAGTAGTGAACATGTTGGTTTTTATTTGTCCGTATGTTTCCCCACAAACTGTTAGCTCTTTGAAACAGGACTGTGTCTTTTCATTTTGTTTCCCAAGGTAGGCCTGGCACATTGCCAGCGCTTAAGAACACTTGATACTTTTTAAAGCTAATATTTATTGAATATTTACTATGTGCCAGGCACTGCATCAAATGTTTTACAAGCTTATCTCATTGGATCCTCACAAAGAATCTATCATCCTCTATGTGTGTGTGTGTGTGTGTGCGTGCAAAATAAGACCCAGAGCAAAGAAAGCAAACTGGCCCAAGTTCACACGGCTGGTGGCAGAGTTGGGATTTGAACTCATTACCTTCTGCCTTCAAGGTCAGTGTGCCTAACAACTGCGCTGCCTTCAAACTTGATAAACAAGGGAAGAGTAGTTGTTTTTCACAATATAGTTTCTGATTAATAACCACTGTTCCTAATTGTTTCCTCACAAATTTAAATGTGTGGAGTGTAGTTTATGGGCTCTAATGCTGCTATATATTATTTCATATTTGTATATGCCTTTACAATTTTTCAAATCACTCTCACATATATTAATCTCACTTGGTTCTCAAAATGACCTGGTGGGGTAGGTGATCATATTACTTCATTTTATAGATGAAGAAACTGAGGTGCAGAATGGTAAACTGACAGGCTACTCTATGACGTGGCAAGGCTCAAGTTAGAACCCAGGGCTCCTGATTCGTGTTCAGGGTGGTTTCATCTTGTAGAGTTGGGATTTAAGGAGTTTTTAGTTATGCCTCTTAGTTAGGTTTTGAGAGTGAGGTTTGGGTTACCAGATGTCAAGAGAAGACTTGTTTACAAAATGAGAACTCATTTACAAAATTCCCTTGAATGGGAATTGATAAAGCTCCCAGTTAGGGAGGGCCATGGTGGGATTTCTCTGGTTTCTACCCTATCTCTCCCATTCCTTTAAACCCCAGTCTGGATACCATTAAGGGATAGAATAGCAGAACTCTCCCCATTCTGCTCCCCGGTTTCGCTAGCCTTAAACTCAAAATACCGTATTTACTAGTAAGAGACTCTGAGAACACTCAGGTGAATGTCATGAAGATGTGCAATGTGCGGGCCGCTACCCTTGATCAAGGGCATTTTCTTCCTATCCAGAAAAATGCATCAAGGAAAAACAACTGAGATTCACACATGAAACATCTTCATTTCAAGCTCCAGAACTGAGAGACCTTGGAGGTCTCTATCCACCCATCTACTTAAAAAAAAATCGTAACAGAGAAAATGAAACTCTATTCTGAAATGAGCTATTTTGCTTAGAACTGCACTTCATTTCTGTATTATGGGCTTTGGAAGCAGAGACAGAGCAAGAAGAACAAGGGAAGAAATAAAATGACGGGAGACATGGAGAGAAAGATACAGCACAGGAAGAAGATCTATCAGAAGGCTGAGATCGGTACAGTTAAGGGGAATAAAAAGGCCAAGATACATCTCCTTTGACTCAGGAACAGAAACAGAGATCCAGATCCAGAGACTGGAATTCACAACAAGTGAACAAGACGAAGGAGCTGTGAGACACAGGGAAATGTAAAAGAAGGTATACAAAGAGAAAGAAAGTTGACAGCCTTTTATGGAATAGCATTCCCTTTAGGCTGGCACCAACAAAAGCCATATTGCATTTGAAGATCTATGGCACAAGTGAGGAGGCGCCTTGTTCTCAGGCCAGAAGGAAGTTAATCAATTGCCTTCCTCCTCTTTCTCTTGTACTCTGTTTGCACTGCACAAGAATACCTGGTCAATACGGCCTTGCACTGATACTTGTATATTTATTTCCCCTTTAGACTGAAGGCCTCTGATGGGCAGGCAGGGCCTGTCAGTCCAGAAGGCAGCCATGACACAGAGCGCAGGGGTTAGCGTTAGAGGGCCTGAGTTCCAGTGATGGCTCTGCTACCCGTAAGCTGTGTGACATGGGGAAAACGACTTAACCTCTCTGTAAAATATGGCTTCCTCTACCTACCTCACAGGGTGGTTGTGAGAATTAGATGAGAGATTTTCAGAAATACACGTAAACTATGTGCTGGGCAGGGGGAAGGGACTCTTCTCTATCTTGGTATCCCGCAGCACGTTACTTGCTGTGAAACTTCTCGGTAAACAGCGACTGGATTGACGATGATCTAGGCCTGGCCTTAGCCAGCTTCCAGGCTGCAGCTTCCTCCGTTTTATCCTGGACTATTTGCAAAAGCAAACTCTCAGTCTAAGAAGCAGAGTCACACCCCAAGCACATGGTTTCTACAAACAGTGACCACAGCTGTGCACCACAGGGAAGTCTTTGCTCTGTACACAGTGATAATGATCCCTGTCAATAAAGACCATAATTTACACAAAGAACTGATTATATAGTACTTGCCTCTGTGTATTGCTTTATATTTTTAAGACACTCTCACATATTTCTTTTGCTGTAAGTGCAAAAATGGGCTTGTTTGCAGAGACACACCTAACTAAAAGTAGTGGGAGTTCTAAACTCAAGTTTAAAAAAATATTCAAGGGCACTGAACCACTGAAATGAGTTAGAACCAGCAAATTGCTGTGAACAAATTCAGCTGCCTTCCTAAATCATCAGATTAATAATTTTTAGTGTCTTCATGTCTCATAAATAATCCCGTAACAGGTTTGTTTGGCTTGCTCAACTAAACTCTGATGGTACTGTTAGGTTTTTGATGAAAAAA